AGACAGGACGCGTGGAAAGTGAACGGAGCGCAGGGAAATTCATAGACTGTGTCCTGTGAGGAGAGCCATGAGCACTATGGGAAGAAATACTGCAAAATAAAGGTAAAGGAAAACATCATTCTAAGGACTCAGAAGAAGAACAAGCCTCAGAAATGAATTTACTGTAGAAACCAAAAGCAGTTTAGGAAACTGCCATTCCCATTAAGATACTGGAAGATATAACTTCTACGAAAACATATTTAAAAAGTATGGGAAGACAATAGGCTGAAACAGTATAAGAGACTGAGTTCAAAAGATAACAGATCAAAAAGATAAGGATTGTAAGGAAACTTAAATAACAATTTAAATCTACAATGGAATTACTAAAGAACAAAATGTTTCTATGGAAAATCAGTGGTGTAGAGTGTAAACAACAAATGAAAGGGCAAGCTACACAGACTGGGAGAATATATTTGCAATACATATATCTGATAAAAGGCTTTGCCTAGAATATACAAAGCATTCTTTCAATCTACTAATAAAATAACCCAAAATCTCACATTAAATAAATGGGCAAACAACTTGAAGAGATGCTTTTCAAAGGAAGATATAAGAATGCACAATAAGTATGAAAAGTTGCTCACAATCATTAGTCCTCAGAGAAAGGCAAATTAAAACCACAACAAGCTAGCACTGGACACCCAGTTGGAAAGCTGACAATACCAGTGTTTGCAAGGATGCCCAGTAATGGTGCGGAAGGGGGAGGGGGAGGTTCTGATATATTGCTGGTAGAATACAAAATGATACAATCACTTTGGAAATGATTTGGCAGATACTTTCAAAGTTAAACATGCATTTATACGATCCAGCAATTCCACTCTTAGGTATTTACCCAAGAGAAATGAAAACCTATATCCTCAGAAAGACCTGTACACAGTGTTCACAGAATTATTTATCACGATGGCTAAAAACAATTCAAATCTCCGTAAACAGGTGAGAGGATAAACAAACTCTGCTTTATTCATATAATGGACTACTATTCACCAATTTTAAAATAATAAACTATTAGCACTCACAAAAATATGGGTGACTTTTCCAAACATTATGCTGAGCAAAAGGAGCCAGACACAAAAGAGTACACATGGAATGACTCTATTTACGTGAATCTTTGGCAGAGGCAAAATCAATCTACAAACACGAAAATCGGGTCAGTGGTTGACAGGAGTGGGGTTTGGAGGAATGAATTAAGGAGAGATGGCAAGGGCATAAGGGGAGTCCTCGGGTAAAGGAAATGTTCTACATCTTCATAGGAGTGCTGATTAAATAAATTGGTGTATTTTTCAAACTTCATTAAACAAGACAAATTGTGTACATTTTATTACATGCAAATTATCTATCTATATAAAACCCTAATATGCAAATCAACCAAACAGCAGAACGACCGGTCGCTATGACGCGCACTGACCACCAGGGAGCAGACGCTCAATGCAGGAGCTGCCCCCAGACCACAGGCCCCGACCGGCAGCAGCGTTAGGGGGCAGGGCTGGCTAGCAGGTGGCGCCAGGCCAGCCAAGGCAGGTGCAAACGGGCCTCGTTCCCCCACCTCCTCTGATTGCCCCACTGGTCACCCCACAAATCACCCACAGCTAGCTTCTTTCTAGAAAGCTGTAAATTACATAAATAAAAATAATTCGCCAAAACCGGTTCGGCTCAGTGAATAGAGTGTCGGCCTGCGGACTGAAGGGTCCCAGGTTCGATTCCGGTCAGGGGCATGTGCCTGGGTTGCGGGCACATCCCCAGTGGGAGATGTGCAGGAGGCAGCTGATCGATGTTTCTCTCTCATCGATGTTGCTGACTCTCTATCTCTCTCCCTTCCTCTCTGTAAAAAATCAATAAAATATATATTAAAAAAAAATAATTCTATGAGCCTCTAGGCAAGAAAATCAGACTTTCAAGGAATTTTTAAAAAATTGGTATCAGCCCTGACTGGTTCGGCTCAGTGGGTAGAGTGTTGGCCTGCGGACTCAAGGGTCCCGGGTTCGATTCCAGTCAGGGACATGTACCTTGGTTGCGGGCACATCCCCAGTGGGAGGTGTGCAGGAGGCAGCTAATCGGTGTTTCTCTCTCATCGATGTTTCTAACTCTCTATCCCTCTCCCTTCCTCTCTGTAAAAAATCAATAAAATATATTTTTTTAAAAATTGATATCAGATTTCTCCTCAGAAATGCTAAGTAAGGCATGATAATAAAAATGTTTATAGTTGTTAAAGAGAGAAAAGTAGTCCTAAGAATTTTATACCTAGCCAAGGATTGTTCGTAAGTGATAGAACTAAAAGCCAATCTAAATATGGGATGGCTCATAAAATATACCACACATCCACCCTTCTAGAAAACAAATATTGAAACAATTTCCCAAGTGCCTGAGAAATGATTCAAATTTAAAAGCTTAAGGATAAAGACAGTATAAATACTTACTACAAGTATGATTTGAAACTAGATGAAGATATAAAAAAACAATAATTGTAATTCCTAGAAGAGAAGATATAATACAAAAACAAAATATAGAGATAAGCCTGTCCAGTGTGGCTCAGTGGTTGAGCATCAACCTATGAACCAGGAGGTCATGGTTCAATTCCTGGTCAGGGCACATGCCCGGGTTGAGGATTAGATCCCCAGTAGGAGGCAGCCGATCAATGATTCTCTCATCATTGATGTTTCTATCTCTCTCTCACTCTCCCTTTCTCTCTCTGAAATCAAGAAAAACATATTTCACAAAATATAGATAGATAATATGAGTCCTAAAGCTCAACTGTATTCACTAAAACTGGGGAATGTGGATGAGGGAAGATGATAGAAGTAAATGCCCATTTAGTTCCTTATTTGACAGAGTGAAGTCAAGAGCTATTCGTTCACTTACCTGTAAAAGATCCATTTATGAAATATTCTATAGTCATAAAAAATAATGAGAAAGCTCTTAATACTCAGATATGAAATTATCTGTAAAACCAATTTATTCTAAAGGGTTGAGGTACAATTCAAACATATGTGCAGCATGCTCTGATCTGTGCAACAAGAGGAAAAAACATCTTAAACAAAGGAAACTGGTGACTTTGGTTACCTTGGGGGAAGGGTTTCTGGGTAGCTGGGAATTAGGAGTAAAAAGGAAATTTTATTGCAATTTTTTGTCATTTGTTCATTTGTAAATGAACCATATAAATGTTACCTATCTTTTTTTAATGTATTATTTGTCTTATTTCTACTTTGAAAATCAAGTAAATTCTCATTGAAGACTCTAGTATGTGTTAAATCTAGTTTATGATAAAGGAGACATCACAAGTTAGAAAAGATTCAACAAATTATCTTACAGCAACTTATTTCCTATTTGAAAAAAAAATTGTAGTCCTCATTTCACAATCCTGACTAGAATAAACTACAAACAGATAAAGACTTAATGAAAATTTTAAATTAAATAAAAATATTAAAACAAAACAGATGAATCTCAGATCAAATAAAGAAAGACCTTCAAGGAATAATTAGACAGATTTCACTAAATAAAAATTAAAATCGTCAATAGCTCAGAAACATATTATAAAATTAAAAGGCATAGTAAAACTGGGAAAAGTACTTTTCATAAATATGATAAGATAAATAGTTTTATATTTTAAAGAGCCAATCAAATTAAAAGGCAAAACAAACTTTTGAAAACCTTACTGAAGCCTCATTGTAAAAATGGGTAAAGGAAATCAAAAGTCAAGAAATGAAGATAGTTAAGAAAAATATAAGGACATGTAAAACCTCATTGATAATCGAAGTAATCTATGTTAAAGACAGACCTTTTCTTGCCTAGCAAATGGGTGAAATTCATGGAAAATGGGGACCCTATAACTACTGATGGGTATGAAAACATACTATTGGTACAACTGCAAATGGGCACAGCCTTTCTGGGAAACAACCTGAAATATGTACCAACAGCCTTATCCATGCTGAAAACTTTTGACTCAATAATTCTAATTTTATACTAAATGTCTCCTCAGGAATTTAATGCAACTTTATTTATAACAGGAAAAAACCTGGAAACAATAAAAATGTCTAAAAATACAAAAATGTTAAAATATGATATATTCATACCATAAAATATTATGCAGACATTAAAATTATAGTTTAAAAAAATACTTAATGACCTGGGAAATGTTCAAAATACACCATAAGTGAAAAAAAGCTGTTATGAGCTATGACGGCAATTTTGAAATGACAATATGTACCATCTGTGTAGATTTTAAATACTGGAGGGAAATGCAACAAAATGTTAGCAATCACTTTCCCTAAAATTCTTTAATTTTATTACTTTTAATTTCCTGTAAAATTTAAAGTTTCTAAAGGTATGTGAGAGACACCTTATTTCAAATGAAGAAATGTTTCAATTATAAAAATTTCACCTGGCATCAAAATGCTTAGGCTCTCAGCGGAGTTAATTACTGCAATAAGCAAATAATCCCCAGACAGAACCTTGATCTGCATTAGCACTTGCCTTCCATCTTTTACACTTTGGGTTCAGAACTCTGAGGGACAGAGCTGGACTCGAACAGCTCTGGTGGGCCTGCCAACAGCAGCACTATCATTCGGCGTAATGAACTCCCTGTGCAATGAACCCCCTCTGCAGGGTCCAGGACCCAACCACAGACAACTCAACTGTAAGTAACCGTGTTTCCATGACACACTTGCCTGCCCAGAAAGTCTTCAACCAAGACCACCCACTTATGGCCCACAAACCACCAGGGCAGAGCAACCGCTGAAATACTCTAGGAACTGATAAGTCTGGCATGAAGAGCCCCCACACGCCTGCCCAGGCTCCCCAGGGCCTCCCCCTCCCTGCTGTTTTCTCTGGCAGGATGTTTTCTAGCATGTTCATTCCAACCCAACTAATAAAGGAGCTCTTCAAAGTTGCGAAAACCAGCGCGTATTGGGTTCCTGGGTCCAGCGTGTGTGCAATACACAAAGAAGCACAGAACACATGTACAGTACCTTCCCGAAGCTGTGTTGGCTTGGCAGAATTTTCCCCACTCATTAAAACAACAAAAGATGCAGCTGCTCGGACTGTGGCCTGCCATGTTGACATGGCAACGGGGGGCTCCTGGCATGGGAAAAGGGCCCTGTTGTTTATGGGAGATCCCATAGTGTAAACACACGGCCTGCAAAAGAAAGACAAAGAGACAAAGGGGGAGAATCTCTAAAATAAGTTGTCACTTTTCTCATCTCCATGGTAGAGAAGGTTAAGTTGAGCTTTCAAAGAAAACACATTTGAGGCTTTGTAGTTGACTAGTTTCAAAGCATGTTGAACTGAAACTGCCAAGGGATGGCTAAGTGGTAATTTCTCCCAAATGAAGTACTTAAATATGTAAAAAATAAAGTTGTTTTTTAAGGGAGAAACATTTTTTGGTTAAAGTTTTAAACACTAGTCTTCCAAGTTAAAATATGTATTACCCTTGCCCTTCCCCTTAGGCTAGCTAACCTTATGCCTTTAAAAGAAAAAAACTTTAGAGACATTCTTACAAAACTTGGAAAATATTCTGGAACAGGAAATATGTTTGGAGATCACTGAGATACTAATGTTTGGAAAAACAAGCTGGTGGTCTCAAGTCCAGTGCTGGTGGGCAGATATCCCAATCCTGGAAACCAAATGGAGCCCTTGTGGGAATCCTTGTGTGGAGGCCAAGAACAGGGGTAAACAGGACTATAGGTCCCCACTACCAGGAAGGCCAAGTGTGGCCATTACCAACGCAAATTTGGGAAACCAATGGCATGACATTAGGGCTCATTCTGTTGCAACTAAAATATACACACCCATGGGCACCAAGAACAATCTCTTCCATGATTGAGTCACTGCTGACAGAGATGGAAAAGACTGATGAGATCAAGGGAAAGGATTATTTTGACACCACTGTTTAGAAAGCACAAAACTTACCATCGGGAAAGTGTCTCAGAAAAATGTATCCACTTTTTTGCTTCACTATGATGCACATGCAGTGTGTCCCTAAAATGTGCCAAGAGCACACAGAATGATGGTCCCACTCTATCAGTCAGGGTGCAGCCAAGAAAAGAGAAAACAGCCTAGGTCTTGACAAACAGAGATCATTTAATACAGGGAATTGGTTACTCTAACGCTAGAAGAGCGGAGGAGCCAAACGGGGACAGTGAGGCAACCCAGAGAGTAAGCAGAGCAGTAAGTAGCTGTGACTCCTTGGGTTGGCGAAGCTGATGTTTCTAGATGTTGCCGGGTCATCTGGCAGAAGTCAGAGTCACAGTGGGGACCGTCCAATGGGTGCTGGGGCCAGAGGAGGCTTGGTCACTGTTGGAGATGCCAAAGGAAACAGGGAGGGGAGAAGAAATGTTTCTCACCAACTCCTGCTCTCAAATTTTTCTACCAGGGCCACCCCCAACCCTCCCGAATTGGTCAGACCTACCAGGAAATAGAAGATGAGGGAGCCTAGGTAGTGAGGTGCCTGGTCATCCAGAAAAGATCACAATAAGAGCAGAAAATGGACGGTAGGGCAGACAGGCAGGTACGGTCTCCCTTCCTATAAGTGTCCGTGATAACTCACAAGCTTGACAAGGAGCAGGGAAAGATGAGAATTCAGAAGACTTTAGTCCTTCCGGGGTTTCCACCTAATTAAGTGCCTATGGGTAAGTCTCTTACCTCTCTGAGTCACATGTAAAATGGGGATGGGACACAGGTTGGTGCCTTCTATTGTCGGTTCTGGTCCATAAATCTATGATTCTGTATTCCAAGTTTATCGATCCAAGAACAAAATTTCATGGAAGACCCAGAATCTCCCATCAGTTTCAACAAGCTGTCCCACCTCAGGCTGTTTAAGGAGGAAGCCTGCCAGAGCTATCTCATTCCAGGCAGGGCTGCTGCTGGTGGGTATGTGATGAGAGATATGCTATAGCAGCTCAAATAACTCAGCTAGGTTGGGTCAAGCATGCCTATTTCTAATAATTCTACCTATTAAGTGTTTTGTTTTTCCCCCAAAAGCCCATCTTAGAGAAGGTCCCAAAAAGGAAAAGTGAGTGTTATCAGTGGAAACAAGGTGTATTCCCAGTAGCCAAATGGTAGGTATAACTCTTGCTTCCTCAGGCAATGGCAGACCTTGATTTGCCATTGATCAAGCCATAGATCAAGGCTTGCTTTCTCACTGAAGCAGAATGGATCCCACAGTTTTTCTCAGTTCAAGAGCTATCAGAAGCCACTTCCAATCTAAGTAGACTTGTGGAGTTAAACTAATTAATCATGCTCACAGGGAAATGGTAGGCCCTTGCTTACCGCTCTCCTAAGGCTTTCTCTGCCTCATGCAAAGGGGAAGTTGTCCTTCTTATGGTCTTAAGTCCTAGGGTGCTCAGGCTAAGTCTAAAAGTATCTACACTCTCTTGCTGTTGTGCTCAGCACCTTATTTCCCTAGGATGACTCTGATGTTACAGGTCTCCCCTTCTCTGTACAGGGAACAAATCATCCCCAAAATATTAGCTTGCCAAGAGGTTTATTCTCCTTTCTCTATAAGGTTGGGTTGGAGGCCATGCTAGCATATTAATATGCATTTCACCTGTGACCTTAGGGATGCGATCCCCAAGACTTCGCCATCAGCTTCCACACCTCTTCCCAGAATAAGCAATCAGCTTTAGATGAGGTCATATCTGAGAAACACCGCAGAGGAAGAATCAGGACTTAGTGATTTGCTGAAGGAGAGGGAAAAGGAGAGAAAGGCCTCTCTGAGGGAGCCAGCTTCCAAGTTGGTCCCCAATGGCCCCTACCTCCTTATATTCACACCCCTGTGTAGTCCCTTCGCACGCTGTGTGAGGGTTAGTCTGTATCACTTCTGAGATTAGATTATTTGAAAATCTGTGCCTTCCATTTTAGGGGTTCTTTTCCCTGTCTTTCTTTCTCTTCATCACTGACTCTGGGGGAAATCCAGGTGCCCTGGCAGGAGGACACACTGGGCGCCTATGGAGGGCCCATGTGGTAGAAACGGAGACCTTCGGCCCACAGTCAGCAAGGATGTGCAGGCTGACAACAGCCAGGCCTGTGCGTTTGGAAGAGGACCATCCAGCTCTAGTCAAGCCTTGAGATGCTTGCTCCCCAGCAGGATGCAACCTTGTAAGAGATACTGGGCCACAACCACCCAGCTAGGCTGCCCCTGGGTTCCTCATAACTGCGAAATAGTAAATATTTATTCTTTTAAACTGTTAAGTCTAGAAATAGATAACAGAATTTTCTCAGGTTTCTGGCTCAAGTGATAAAATGAGTGATGCAGTTATTCAGCAAGAAAGGAAATTCAGGACCACAAGCAAGGTCACAAGAAGGGCCAGGGAGAAGAGTTCCTACCTGTGTATTCTATATAAATAAAAGGCTAAGCGACCATCCGACCATCGGACCGGTAGCTATGACATGCACTGACTACTAGGGGGCAAGTGCTCAATGCAGGAGCTGCCAAGCTGCAGTGACTTGGCAGTGGCAGTTCTCAGGATCCCAAATCAGAGAGGAGGGAGCCAAATTCTGGGGTGCGTCATCCGAGAACTGCCCTCTCGCAATCCAGGACCCCTCGGGTAATGATGGAGAGCCAGTTTCGGCCCAAACTCCGCAGGCCAGGCCAACGGACCCCACCTGTCGGAGGGACCCTGCTCACTCCACAGACGCCCTTCGAGCTGCGGCACCGCACCTGGGGCGGCCGACCCGGGAGGGACTGTGGGAGGTTGGCTCCAAGATGTGTCCGGCCCATCTCGCCCAGTCCCATCCCGCCAGCCACCTTCTAATTAATTTCCTTTCAATGTGCACGAATCCATGCACCAGGGCACTAGTTTGCATGTAAAAGACTTTACACACCATATGGCCGAGGACATTTGTATGAAGGCAGAGAGAGCGACTTCCTAACCTCAAATAGCATAGTGTCCAACAGTGGGACTGAGTGTCTGAAATCAGGCTGATCTCAGAAAGTTTAAAAATGATAATTTTATATCTTAGTGTTTTTATTACAGGCAGATTTGAGTCTGGATGTCACACTTCAATAGGCGGGTGGGGATGGCTGATTTTTTAAAAAGCACGTTATCACCATCCTTTTCTCTATTATTAGAGAAATTCCTATTCTCTAATTCTCTATTTCCTAATTCCCTAATTCTCTATAATTTCCCCTTTAAAACTGTCTACTACTAGGTATTTTGCTCTAGAGTTTTGTCCTGATTCCCCTGTCATCTCCTGAAGGCTCTTTCTGCCACATTGTGCCTGGGCACCTGACTCTCCCTCCAAGGGACTTGGCCAGACCCCCAGGAAGCTCTCAACTCCAACCTCCCCACTGTCCTTACCATTCTCTCTTCTTACCCTCCTCTTTTCATGGCAGGGCATCCTTTCTGCTAAAGACTCTATGTTTTCTTTCTAGCTTCCCATTTGGTCTCCAGACCTATAACTCTTAAATTGTGGATCAAGTCAGGTATATAAAAGCCACATCCATAAATATAAGACTCAAACACTTTCTTATTGGAATATGATCATAAATCAGGAAATAATCACGAGAGGCCCTAGGCATAATTTCTTGAAAATGTAGATTCTCCTTGTGCTCGCAGCCTACTCCTTTCCTGGCCTTTCCTCTTTCTGAGTTGCACCTTCACTCCTCACTTCCCAACATGCCCAAACCAAGTGCCAGTGACTTTATAAGCAACTAGAGGCCCGTTGCACAAAGAGATTCATGCAATAGGCCTTCCTTCCCCTGGGTGCCAGCATCGGTTTTCCTCTGGCACCCGGGACCCAGGCCTTCACTCCGGCCGCCATGGAGAAGCCAAGCCTGGACGCTTCTCTGCTCTGGCTGCAGCAGAGAAGGCAAGCCTCTTCAGTCTTCAATCGTCTTCAGTCTTCAGTCATCTTCAGTCTTCAGTCTTCCCTCGGGCCAGAGCCTTCAGTCTTTGCTCCGTGCCTGCATATGCAAACTAACTGCCATCTTTGTTGGGTTAATTTGCATACTCATCCTGATTGGCTGGTGGGCGTAGCAGAGTGACACCAATTTGCATGTTTCTCTTTTATTACTGTAGATGGCCTTTTGAGCTTTTCTAACTTGACATCTTTATGCACATAGTGCAAATATCTAACAATTTAGTTAAGTCACTAAGAGAAACAAGTTGTGAAATGGAATCAATGGAGCTAGAAACC